CCTGGCTGGCACCAAGACCTCTGGGATGTGAACGCATGACAGGGTGGGGAGCCAGTCCTATGGCTTTTGGTTCCAGACCCAGGTCTACCACTTCCTTGCTCTGTCACTTTGGGCATTTCCTTGACTTCTCTGCATCTTTTTTCACATAATCTGTAAACCCACGTAATTAAGGAAATCCTTTGTTTGTGAAGTTACACAAGATAGCGTAGGTGAATGTGCCTAGCACAGTGCCTGCCTCAACAGTCGAGTGCTTCCTTCCTCTGAGTGTTGTCCCATCTGCTGGGCCCTCCATGGGGTGGAATTCATGCACGGAAGGGCAGTGTGGACACCACTAGAGGTGGCCGTGCCAGAAAACACAGTAGAATGCCCTGCTCCTGACAGATGGAGACAGAATCTGAAAGCTCCCCTCTAGCTAGTCCTCTTCCGTCCTTCAGGCTACAGGGACCACCCAAGGGTGAGGTAATCCTGCCCCCCCACCCCCCCACTGCTGAGAGCAAGCGGTGGGGTTGCGACGCACTAACCAGCCTTTGAAACCACAAGAACCTGGGTCTAAGGACACAGTTGACTGAACTGACTACCATGTTTACCAACCTGAAGTTCCCCATTTGCAAAGAAAACCCAGAATCCCCACAAGTTCTCTCGGCCTCAGGTAAGCCCAAGTGGGTTTTTCAGGTTATTAGGTCACCTCTTATTTTTTTTCAACCAGTTTCGTCAGTGTTAATCTCTTACCTCATGAAAGCTTTAGCATTTGCAGAATTCTTTTTGAAGACCTAGGGAAACCGAATTTGGGACCTCTGCGAAGTTTGCCCTTCCCGTTTTAAAAAAAACCTTTGCTCGTTTTCTCGCTGTTTTACCACAGTGAGAAAACTTAAAAAGAAAGTGTGTGGTGACAAAACAGAAAATAAAGGAGGAGAGAGCGCAGGAGGTGTGTCCAGGGCTGAGGGGGAGGCTGCAGGACCTGCGCTTGGCTTCTGAGTCCAGGTGACCTGGGCCAGTGTATGTGGTTCCTCACCTATTCACAGCCTCTTAAAGTCTAGTCAGAGGACAAAGGCAACAAGAGTTGCCTGTGGGAACCCTACTTCCATTTCAACCCAAATTCTTAAACATATCCCTGATACTCTGCCTCAGCCTACTTTCATTAAGTCCTTAAAGGCTCTAGGGTGGGTCACGTGGCTCTAAGAACCAGTATCCCCCACCACTGCCCCAAATTGTGACAGGAAAGCTAAAGCCCGGATTTCCTCTGACTAACTCGTCTTGTGGAAAGAGAAGCCTCTGAAGGCAATAGAGGATGGCGGGGAAACTTTGCTCTACTCCCGGAGGTACAAATGCTGCATATCTCAAGCCTAAAGAAATCTTTAAATTAAAAGGTGTTTTTTTTTTTTTGAATTGGTACCTGATATTGTCATGACATAGATGGTGGCCTTCAGATAGGGCCTTCAGTGAAGTCAGGTTCAAACCCAGTCGCTGGTTTGGAGGGCCATTCCTGTGATTGCGGTTAAGACCCGTCTCTGATAAGCAGGTCTCAGAAGGACTGAGCCTGACCAGTGACACGGCAGGAAAGAAATGCAGGGTACACTCCTATAACAAGCACTCTTTTCCAAAGGGAAGGCTACAGCTGTAGGGCATTTAATTTTCATAATTGCTTTTTTTCATGCATGCTGTGTGAGCTTCATGGAGGGGGTAGGAGGAGAGAGATGAGGGACTGGAGCAAATGGAAGGTTTCATAGGACCAGGGTCAGGAGAGGAGAGGTTTAGATAAACAGGAGACAGCAGAGATAATAGAGGAACAGAAGAATCGGGAAGTTAAAGTCTTAAAAAGGAGAAAGACATGTGAAAAGTGGAAGTTAGCTCTTAAGACAGAGAGGCCAGTTGAGGAAGGGCAGTTGATAACGAGTGTTGATAAAAATGAAACCAACCGCTACTTCCATTTGAAAACAAACATGTTGCATATGCTGGAAATCCTAGCACAGGAGGGCCCATCTAGGGCCGAGATTCAGGGCCCTTGCCGGCTGGACCCTCTCACTGCCAAAACTTAGTCTTCCTGGGTCTCACTATTGAATAACGTTGGGCTATCATGGGCTAATGAGTGAACTGAATCTATTCCACTTCACCAATTGACAAATATATCACCTATTTGAGAAAATTAGCTATTAATAGCCGCTTCTGGGCTGTTGGATAACTATTGACTTATTTAATATCTCTGGGTCTCCATTTCCTTACATTAAAGGAATTGGACTTAATACGTGAGAACGAGGTGATATTTGAGTGGGGCTGCAGAATGACAATGGAAGGGGAGGGCTCCAGGGCGCCATACACACAAGGTAGGAGAGGAGGAAGGTTGTCTAAAGGAAATGAATGTAGCAACAAAATTGCCTGAGAGACTGCAAGCTGAGCATAATTATGGTTGCATCCTCAAGGGGTAAGGAAGAGCCATGCAACATATCCCCAGAGGGGCCCGGACTTCCTATTATGTTTATTAATCATCTTGATGAAAATGGAAAGTCTGCATTGATTAAATTCACTAATGATCCTAAACTGAGCAGGGGAGTAAATTCTAGAAACGATGGATTTGTAAGGTGAGGGGTAATATTAATCAGCTCATCTTATGAAAAGGGTGGCAGTAAATGAAATGGGATTTGCCACAGATAATGGCAGTGAGGTATACCCGGGGGGAGGGGGGAATTATAATGAGCCTGGTTCCAAACTAGGAAGCTGTTATTTAGGAAATAATAATGGGAGGAGAGCTCTAAAGTGGAGAGTGAATAATAAATTAAAAACAAGCTTAAAATTCTCATTATGGATCACAATTTCACTCTCAGCACTTTTGTGGTAGGCTGAGGGAGTGTAGAAGAACCTTGGGGGGCAGCTTTCACATTTTGAGGTGAGGGAACTGGGAACTGGGACCCAGAGAGGTTAGGCATGGGTTGCTAGTCAGGGGTGGCAAACCCCAGGCACACTCATCACCACTCTGTACCCTGCCGGGGGTGACAGGAGATCACCACTCCTGAGAGGCCTATACGTAGCCTGAGAATCCTTCACAACACAGCACACGAAGCTGGCTCTGATTCCTTGGCTCATGAGTGTTATCTTTTGCCATCTCTCGCTTGGGTCAGCGAGCTAGACATTGACAGAGTCATGGCTAAAAACTAGATTTCCTGATCTGTCTCTTTTGCTCTGTAAGTTCTAAACCGTCTACAGTCAACACTGACCTGAACCTCAAACACTCAGAAAGCAGAACTGGCTTCTTAACCAGCGTTTTCCTCTTGGTTTCCATCATGCCGGTTTGAAGTCCCTGGACAGCATTTAAAAAAAATCTCTGAAGCTCTATGTGTAGTAATGTTGGGGAGATGCTCAGAAATATCAATAAATGCGGAGCCAACAAGTTTTGTGCCCTTGGGGAATAACATACACCGTTCAAAAAAACGTGACCAAATGTAAGTAATGAAAATTCAGTTCTACCACAGGCATTTGATAAAAGGAATAATCTTGTTAAAAATTTCCTGGGACTGATTAATGTTCTGTTTGTTTTGCTCTTGATGAGCAAAGCAAATCCACTCTGTGCAGAAGCAGCAGTGTGGAGGGAGGTCCTGTGTGTGCAGGGTCCGGGGAGCCAGGTGGGGGGACATCAGCCTAGGGAGAAGAGGCAGGGGAGATTGGCCTTGGCAGAATTGGGAAGTAGGTGCACTTGGCCCAGTCTTGGGTCCTTTTATCCTTCTTTCCTGTCCCTCTTCCCAGGAAGGCTGTGCTGCCCCTCTGAGTTCCAGTGGGGTGATTTGGGGGCCCTCCCATAAGGCTGTGCTGATTGCGTGTTGCACAACTCTAGCCGGTGCCGTGCCCCTTTGCAAACTCTGCAATTCTGCATGGCCAGCCCCCTGGCAGACTCACAACCACGCTGCAGTTCTTAGGCCTTTTGTGATCTCACCCATCCTTCCATGGAAATCTACCTGATATGGGTCTAATCTGACTCACATCCTCATAATCTAATGGGTCACTGCCCACGAATTTCCTGAAGACCCACCCGTTAGCCTAAGTGAATGACTTAAATAGAAAATTTTACAACAGGCCTGAAAGACAGCTCTCCTTAAGTACGCTCTTCAAATCATCACTGAACGCCCCATAGGATGAGTGAGAGATAACATTCACATGCTCGACCAGCCAAAACCACAAAGTGAGCTCCCAGGATCTCATAATTGTTTAATTTGTTCAGCACTTTGCAGCTTGCAGAATCCTGTCACCCCGTGGCCTACATCTAAGAGCTCTGGAGCTGGATTCTGCCAACCTCAGTTTGAATCCCATATCTGCCACCCGCTGGGCATGCAGAGTTAAGCAAATTGCCTAAACTTTGAAAGCTATTTTCTCATCTGCAAAATAGGTTTGTTGATAAGATTAACGAAGATAATGCATGTGAAGCATTTAGCAGTGCTTGGCAAACAGCCATCAATAAATGTAAGCTATAGTCATTATTTTTTATTTCACAGTACCCTGTGGGGCAGGTGAGGTGGATATTATGTGCTTTGTCCTGGGAACCCAAGCAAAGTCAGAAGGGATTTTCCCAAGGGAATGCAGTCATTACGTACCAAAGCTGGGCGTTACATCTGTGCTATGGAAGTACGACTCCCATGTTCCTTCCACTGGTCCGCGTTCTCGTAGATCTCATGCAACACTTAACCACATTCGTCCACATCCTCAGGCTGCATGGTTGCAGCGCACACGAGATAGGTTAGCTGCTTTTTCACTGTCTACCTCTGTCCTAAAACGTCGATGGAAACCCAGTACACCCAGGCAATGACAAACACAGGCTGTGAATTTTCTATCTTTAAGGTGCAAGGCCACACCCTCCAGGCTGTGGGATAGCCATCTGAAGCCGAGTGAGCACGGCAGTGGTCAAAAGGGCAGTAAACTGAGAGAAGATGAGGCATTTTGGGTCCATGAATGTGTTCACTTTCCAGGATTATCAGTTTTAACCATGAGGAAGGTCGCTCACTTTTAAAGAGACTTACCCACATATACAGGTTGGCTCCACTCACTCCAAAACCCCATCTGTCTGCACACAGAACTCACTGCTGCTCTCACTTGAATGCAATACTTAGAAATATCATCAATTATCGAGATGAATGTATTCGTCGTCATTTTTTCTGTCTAAATGAGGAAAAAAATTAGCATAAGAATCTCTGGACACGTAATTTAAGTAATGTCAGTTATCAGAATGGAAGGCTGTACCTAAGTAATGTGACTCACCGTTACCTGACCCATTTAAAATCCATAGGACATACATTAATTTGTTTATTCTAGAAGGCTTCAGTATGGATGTGCCGGCAGCTACCCTCCAGGGTAAGCGATCTCGTAACCAAAATCAAGAAAAAGTCAATCATAACATCTAGATAATTTATCTGGGCCCAGCTGATGTTTCCAGATGAAGTGACTGGAGTGGCCGATGGTAGAACGCATAATCCCCCTCATCTCGTCCCTCCATATTGTCAAATTACTAAACAATATCACCTGGTTTCCATCCTATTCGGCGGGCATCACCAAACTACAACATGTGGGCCAGTCTGACCCGCTGCCTCTTCTCGTAGGGCCTGCAAGCCGCGGATGGTTTCTATATTTCTAAATGATTGAAAAATATCAAAAGTGTATCTCACGACACATGAAACTGAAATTTCAGTATCCACAGGTAAAGTTTTACTGGAATACACCTGTGCCTATTTGTTTACATATTATCTATGGCTGCTTCTGTTCCACAGCGGTAGACCTGAGTAATTGTGATAGAAACCAAATGGCCTGCTAAGCCTAAAATATCTGGCCATTTAAAAAAAAAAAAGTTTGCTGAACGCTGATGTATAGGAATGTCTCAAATAACTGGAGCCAGGGAGGACACCATGATAGAGAAGAGGAAAGAGCAGAGTCCTTGAATCTAGGAAGGGCTGTGTTTGAATCCTATGCTCCAAACTAGCTGCAAGGCAAATTCCTTGAACTCTCTGAGCCTGTTTTCTCATCTGTAAAATGGGAATAACAACACCTGAGCATGAATTATTGAACTAAACGGTATCTTTGTAATTCCAAGTTTAAGGATGTATTGGGTTGAATCCTATGAAAACTGCCAATATTCAACCCATCTTTGATGAGCAAAAACAGCAATGTTGGTTCAGTACAATAACGCGGACTCAGGAAATGCTAGTTTGCCACAGGGAATTTGGGCTAACGTTGTCCAGTGTTACAGCGAGGCTATCTTCTCACAAATGAGCCTTTCTCCGTTACTCTCTCTGCTGGTCAGTGTCCACACCGTTCACCTAATCCTTTATGCCCCAGACCAGAGATGCATCCCTGACACCTGCATCTTATGTTCTTCTGGGTGTGTTTCTCCTTTACTCGCCCCGCCCCATGACCACTGCCTGATTTGTCTTGTTATCTTTTGCTTGGCCATTTGTCAGAGCCATTAACCCCACATGCCTATGTCCACATGGCCCCCTCCACATGCCTCCAGCTTTCATGCTGCTACCAAAATTATTCTTTGATTTTGCAGATGCGGTCGCATTTCTGTATTGAATAAAACCCTTCAGTGGTTTTTCTGTGCCTATGGCAGTGGTTTTAAAAAGAGAAACCACTCTTTTTTTTTTTTTTTTTTTTTAGCAAAATCTCAGTCATTTGGGGAAAAGTCTCAGTGTAGGATCCAGACTTGTTATCCCAATGTTGGCTTTCTGTCCAGGCTGACTCACTCACTGCCACTTGGCTGGAGGAGCCGTGCTCTCTTAAGCCTTTGAGTTCTGCCTTCTGCCTAGACCCCCTGCCACTTCGAATGTGCTTGGCTGACGGGGGTGGGTCAGGAGCTGTTTGTTACTGAGCCGCAGTGAGGGAAACACAGAAATCAAAACAACAGTTGCAGAGCTCTTGTAGCAATTTGACTTTGCCACAACATCCAAGCCCATGATCGCTGGGCTTCTCTCTGGGCATATTTGGTTTTTCTGGCCTTTCATTTTTATTGTATTTTACAATTAGAAATTAAATGAGAAATCTAATTAAAAATTGGAAATTAGATTCAAAATTTAAAAAAAAGAAAGCCGGTCTTTCAGCATAGGTGTTTGGGGAAGCAGTGGCTACAGAAGTTGGTCTCCTCTTCCCGTGTCACCAGGCATGATTTTGCTCAATCTTCATAGCGGGGGCCCTCAGCGGGCGTTGCATTGCCCACCCCCTCCTCTGGACCTCTGTTGGCTCTTCCAGTGACGCGGTGAGTGTGTCCACTAGACTAGGCCCATTGATGGCAGAGACTGGAGTGGCCGATAGATAAGTAAGATAAGTAAGATATCTTACTTATCTTTATACTTCCCACATAGAAACCAGTTTGTAAGTATTGGTTAAATCAAATTGGATGGAATGGAACTTGCTTTGCCTACTGTCAGTACGATGCCAGTGGTGATCCTAACTTCCCTATGCTTTGCCAGCTTAGTGACTTTGGGCAAGTGGCTTAATCTCTCTGCCTCACTTTCCTGCCTAATGGGAATGAGAGTGACTTAATGGAGTTACTGGGATGATGGAATAAATTAGCATAATGAAGCTTGACCCAGAGCTGATGCTTCATAAATGCTGGCTGGCTTCTCAGTTCCTTGTCCCTTGAACTTTTTGTTCTTTAGTGCTAACGAGTATATTTCAGTTGTAGTGAAAAATAGGAAACATAAAATTTACCATTTTAACTATTTTTAAGTGTACAGTTTGGTAGCGGTGAATACATTCACATTGTTGTGCAACCATTTCCAGCACTCTTGTACCCTCCAATACCGAAACTCTGCTCATTAAACAACAGTCCCCACGCCCCCCCCTCCCCCCAGCTCCTGGAAACCACCATTCTACTTTCTGTCTCTCTGCATTTGACTACTCTTGGTATCTCCTGTAAGTGCGATCCTGCTGTATTTGTCTTTTTGTGACTGGTTTATTTCACTTAACACAGTGTCCTCAAGGTTCATCCAGGTTGTAGTATGTGTCTGAATTCCCTTCCTTTTTAAGGCCGAACAACAGTGCATTGTATGGATAGACCACGTTTTGTTGATCCGCTCGTCATCTGTCAGGGGACACTCGCATTGTTTCCTCCTTTTGGCTGCTGTGAATAATGCTGCTATGAACATGGATGTGCAAATTTCCCTTTGAGACGCTGCTTACAGTTCTTTTGGATGTACACCAAGAAGTGGAATTGTTGGATCACACGATAATTCTATTTTTGATTTTTTGAGAAACTGCCATACTGTTTTCCACAGTGGCTGCAACATTTTATATTTACACCAACAGTAGTGCTCACGAGTTTTTATCTGATCTTTGTGTTATCTTGAACCAAAAGTATGTCCTTTCAACACAAAAAGACAGTAAAGTTTGGTTTATTTTTGCAAAACTTGGATGGATATAAGCTACCTTTGACCTCGTTAGTGCCAAGATATAACCACAGCGGTCACTGAATAGAATTTTTAAAATGTTCCTAAGAGAATGCTATCATCAAAATTGGAATGATCTGAAGAATTACCTGAAAATAATTTTTCCTTGTGTTGTAAATCTTCACTTCATATTCAAAGCAATGATTTGGAAAAGCAGAAATGGGTTTCTCCCACTGAATAGAAAGACAGGTTCCTTCAGTCTCTGCTGTGACATTCACTGGAGGATTAATTCGATCTAGGTTAGAGAATGAAAGGTCAGTAGTCTGGGCTGATAAATCCAATCCACTCACACTCCTCAAGGCATTTCTAAGGTACAATCTTCTCAAGTATCTACCCTCGGGATTTAACTAACTGATCCCCAGGCCACAAGACCCCAGTGGCTCACAGATGACTCCTACGTTGTAGCACTGAAGAGATCTCTACTGGAATCTTAAAGGATTCCTATTCCAAATGGCACTGAGAGGTGGAGTCCCTTTCCCCTTCAGCTCATTGCAAGACCCACCTCACTATCCCTGTTTCTCAAATGGGACCAAACAGGGTCAACCTCATCCTGGAGAGAAATTGCTCTGGAGCTTCCACTGAGCCCTCCCTCTACTGAACCAGGTGTGTGGCCCTGGGTAGTAATTCCCTCATTCTGAGCTTCAGTTTTGTTTCATTTTGTCTTCTTTGCCTTCTTTCAGATTTGTTTGGGGATGGAGCAGGAAGCTTCAATATTCTCTTGCATAAGAAGAATGGATTGGGCCACATTTGTCTTAACTTACAACTCTAGAGTTCTTTTCCCTGACTTATCACTTGATTATCTTATAGCCTTGAGGTGTGGGTGGAAATTATTTCTAAGTGAGCGTTCTTCTCTTAGGTTATGGGACTTAGATCTTACAATTAATGAATCATAAGGATAAGCTAAGAATGGGACCTATTGGTTCCAGAGCCTGCCATTCCCTAAGCAGAAAAAATTTAACGAAGAATGTATTTCTTTTAGTAATATGAACAATTTATCTCAAAGAAATGAAAATCATACAGGAAAATGAATTCCTGTGGTCTGTATCAGGTCATGTCCATTTTCATATTAATATTTTTTCCTAGGTCTTCCTCAGCATTTTTTTATTACCAATTTTCAGGAAAGTGACATTTTTAGGTCATCTGAGAAATAGACTATTGAATAGAAGTGCATAACCTCTTCAGTGAGATGGTTCTTTAAACAGTTCATTTCATAGAGATATAGGTAAATCCTGTCCCTTTAATATTTTTTATATTTATAATTATGTATAATTACCAGGTGTTGTTCTAAGCACTGTATGGTTATTAACATACTTAATTCTCACAAAAGCCTTGCAGGAATTGTTAATTTCTCCCCATTTCTTTCTGATGAGAAGACTGAGGTACAGAGGAATGACCAGCTTGTCTACAGTCCCTCAGCTAGTCAGTGGGGGAGCCAGGATCCAAGCCCAGGCAGCCCATACCAGTAAATATGCCACAATTGAAATCTTGAGCGTTAGTAACAAGAATGCGACGTGAAAGGCTCCTGATGAGTTTCATTAGTACAAGTATCTAGGATGGAAGGAGACTATTTCTATTTTGAGAACCGAGCAAATGAAACTTTAAATAATACATTTAGATCTGAGAATCATATGCTGAGCAAAACATTTTCGGATCACCCAGAGGAGACAGACCAGAATGGTAAAGGATCCTAAGAAGAAAGCAAGAGGAATTGGGGGTGGGAAGCTTGGGGAAGAGAAATCTCAGGATGAGAAAGCTGGCTGTCTTTGATTAGCTCTGAAACCATTTGGGGGGTGGGAAGGGATGAGAATTATTTGGGGTTGGTACCAGTCCATCACAGGACCAATGGGCAGAAACTTCATGAAATGAGTCAGAGCTGAGAAAGGGCTGCTTCCTTCAGCAGTGAGTTCACATTCCCTGGTTCAGTGATTCTCACATGGTAGAGATTCTGTCCCCCACAGGACATTTAGAAATGTTGAGAGACATTTTGTTGTCACAGTGTGGGGTGGGGGGGTAGAGAGATACCACTGATCTAGTAGGTAGAGACCAAGGATGCTGCTCAAAATCCTGCAAGGCACAGGACAGCTCCCACAAGACAAGTTATCCAGTCAAGAATATCAGCAGTGCCTAGGTTGAGAAAGCTGGTCCCTGTGATTGTCAGGCAGGGGACAGATCGCATTTAGCCTCGGAAAATTAGTCAAACTAGGTGATCTTTATAACCCCTTCCAATGCTGGGATTCTGCGTTTTGGTTATTTCAGCTCTGAGTTAAGTCTGCCTTACCAATTGCATGCAGAGCAAACAGCTGATCAAAAGGCTTGATTGTAGCATGCTTGCTTGAGCCGTTAGCATGCACTGCCAGGGAGTCGCTCCCTCTGCTACTGATAAAAGTCCTCGGAAACCAACATGCAATATTTCTCTTCAGCGTGTCTTTCCTATACTCCTGGCACTCTTCGGTCGAGGAGCCATACCTAAATGGCAACACTTATAAGTTTTTAAGATGAGAGGCAACAATGCTTTTTCATAAGTAAACATAGCTACTCACCTGTAGTAGAGGAAATACTGCGTATCCTCAGGGGCATCCTTGCCAACGAGCCAGGTACAGTAAAGAGAAACTTGGTATGGCCTTAAGAGATTATAGTTATTTAATGTGGTGTTCGTCGTACACGTTAAATTCACAATCGAGGTTCCAGGAGACCCTAGATGGTCAATAAGAGGGTCAAAAATAAGAACAAAACATTGCCATGACAGCTTTTAAATCTTGTACTTCCTCTGAAACTGTAGTGATTGGGAACATCTTACCATGAAAAAGTAAACGTTATCATAAATTTCTAGAAACCTTTTTGCAAAGGGCCAGCTTATTGGGGGGATGAAGCTAGGATTACAAAGCCTGAGTTTTTCTGGAATTAAACTTTCTGGCTACTTTGGGCTACGGGAGTGTGTCTGCGTGATATACTTGCATGAAAATTAAAGAGCAGTACAAGAGATTGTCATTCAAAGCTTGGTATTCTAATGCCACATTTTTCAACAATGAACTGCGACACTTTGAACCCCACTATTCTGGACCTCAGTTTTTCCAGCTGTAAATGGGAGAGTTGAGAGAGGAAGGTCTCTAGTGCCACTTTCCATCCTAGAATTATGTGATTCATTAGGTCGCACCCAAATGGTCCTGAAAAACATAGATTGCCGCTCCGAAGGAAGTGGGTTCTGGCAGCACTGAAAAATAACACTTCCTCGGGCGCCTGGGTGGCTCAGTCGGTTAAGCATCTGCCTTCTGCTCAAGTATGATCCCAGGGTTCTGGAATCAAGCCCTGCATTGGGCTCCTTGCTCAGCGGGGAGTCTGCTTCTCCCTCTCCTCCCTACTCTTGCTCTCTCTCACTGTCTCTCTCACTATCTCTGTCTCTCTCATATAAATAAAATCTTCAAAACAAAACACTTCCTTGGAGACTCCATGCACACTAGCCTGTTGAAGTCAGCTTTACTGTGCAAAGATATTAAGGGGATCTTGTGATTTTTCACCAAATGCATTATGTTCATTTCACCCAGGATTTCTGAAGATTATTTGACTAGAAAGCCTTATTTTCATTTCAAACTGCACTGTCACCATGTTAATTGGGGCTCTTCAGAACACACCATAGTGGAGACACTGGCCTTGTGGTTGCTCACAGGAGGGGAAAAAACACTTTGGGCTGAGGGTCAAGGAGGACCTCATCAAAGTGGGAGCCTTGAGATTGAATCTCCAGTGATAGAAGGCGGTCTCTTTAGCTTAGTTTAAGTCAATTCATATTTATCACTGTCAGCCAGCGTAGCTCAAGGGGGAGAAAAGACAGACCCCCTTTGTCCACAGAGAAGTTGGACAAAAGGGACACTGTTTAGTTTGTGTTATTACCACGCACTGTCAGATAGGTTTTTTCTCTATATTCATATACAACAAATGTACATAGACTTATGTGTATGCCTTGTACTCAGTGTATTAAATGACCAGATGTTCCACACCCAAGTATAGTTTGGAGTCTCCAGTAATCTGTTTGTCTCCCACCTCTCTTCCAAGGAATTATGTGGTGTGAATTCAGGTTGATTCAGGGGAGAATTAATTTTTTATTCATGTCACTGTATATTGGCATGCTCAGAGAATAATTAGAATTGCAGACATGTAATTCTGAAAGATGCATTACAGGTATACTCCTGTTACTGAGATGTGGAAAAGTAGTTTAAGGCAAGGCACACAGAGGTCTGTATTTGTGATCTTGTGTCTACCTTGGATTCGTCTCTGAACTTGGAATCAAGGCCATTGTGAATTGGCTGTTCTATGGTCTACGCCACATGTTAGAATGAGGAAACAGCTGTTCCCAGGGCTGCTCTCGGTCATCGACACAATTCAGAGGGTGCACAGCCTTTTCATTCAGTGATGTGACGAGACGACGGTTGGACGATTACCCATGGGCCAGACGGGCCAAGACAACAGTTACTAGGAGCACTCACGTAACCTGGGACATGGTGATCCTTCTGTCTTTCCCTGGTGTGGGTGTGTGTGTTTCCAAGGCTTTAATCCCAAGTATCACTGATTGTACGTATTAGAAACCCCAATTTCCCACCAAAGGACAGTATAGACAGTGGATGCTATCTATCCTCTTTCTTCATGGTGGGTTGTTCAGTGTTGTGACTTCTGTGAACCACCAGCAGCTTCCTTAAATTTGGTATGACAAGTCCTAGAGTGCAGAACATCACAAACAGGACAGGAGGAAACGCTCCTTCTGAAGTGTTCACTGCTTGTTCTACTGGCTCAATAAAGCATGAGACACTGTCCCTGCCCCCCAAAGGCTTATATTCAGAGATGGCAGGGTATAAAGCTATTTATTTGTGAAAGATAATGGCATATGTGCCAAATGAGTAACACAGCTCATGAATGGGTTTTGAGGAGGCAGAGACTCCTTCAGTGTACAGGATGAAGAGTAAAAGGGCTTTCTAGCGGAGGTACAACTTGATTTGGGCTTTGAAGTATGGAAAGGATTCAGAAAAGCAGGAAGAGGGGAATCCAAGAGAGCAAAGCCTCTGAGGCAAGAAAAACTTCTGTGTGTGGGTGGGGGCGGGGCGCGGTCAATGTTAGAAATCTGCGAAAAGAGGAATCCTGTTGGGTATGGTTAGAAAATGTCTTACAGTCCAATTATGAAAGACCTGATTGGCCTTAATTTTGCTGATGACCCTGTGACTTGGGAGCAGGGGAGCGAGAAGCGTGAGCTATGTCTGCAGGGATGCACCAGATGGAATGGGGTGGGTTATGATGATAACTGATCACAGCCTCGGTTAGGATGTTGATGAGGAGGAAGAATACTTAGCAGGAACTGCTGACTGACTATGAAAAAGAAAAGCCAGTTACTTTTCCAACTTTGCCTGATCTCCAAAGTCAGGAATACAATACAAGGCTGTTAGGAGCCTGCCTTACCCGGTGGGGCTTTAAGCTCAGCAGAAACCCAGTTGCTTGCCAGGAGGGAGTGGCCATTCCATGGGATGGTCTGCACACTTGCTGAAAAGCCTTGATGAAGAACGGTTACGCGTTTGCTTTCAGTGTTTCTGGTTTCATACTAAAAATAAACCCCACAAGTCATGATGCAGAAAAGGGAAAGAGCATTAAGAGAGCTATTTTAATCCAATAGGCATTTTCTTCCACTTTTTAAATGGCATGTAAATAAAATGCAGGGAAGTAGTTTGTATAGAAAAAAAATTAAGCACATGATTTTACAGGTACATATCTGCTTATCCCCAAACTCATCAAGTTAGGTAAATACGTACAGCTTTTTCCACAGCATTCACACCTCAACGAAGTTGATTTTAAAAAATGAGCAAGTAAATGACCCAATTCTAGCATTTGGGTGTTAAAAAAAAAAAACCATACAATAATATATAATAATTCCTCAATGATAGATGAACACATTCCTATAAAAACAAACAAAATACTGCAATTAAGGCTCAGATTCACTTCAGCTATCACCTCTAAACCCAGTCTCTTCCCCAGAGGTAACTTTCTAAGGGAAAATTCTCTAGAATTCCATATTGACTGAAAAAAATAGCTAATACTAATTGCTTCTCCCTTCATTTCATTTTACTGCACATCTCTTAGGTATCAGATGCTTTAACATAATCCCTGCAGTGGGAAACGGCCAAGCTGCATCTCTGAGACGTACAGTGACTGGCCCAAGGTTGCCGAGGCAGGAAGTGACTACACCTGGATTCGAACTTGGCTTCTCTGGTTAAGCACCCCACTGCCTCCCATTTTATGCCACTGCTCTCTTCTCTATCCTTTTCTCTTTGCCTATTTTCACGTATCAAATCCATTTTACCTTCAAAGTCCCTAAACGTTCTTTTCTTGGTGAAAGAATCGGGGCAAAGTTAAAAGGTTCTGTGCAGCTGTCGAATGCTAAGCAACATGCACAGCACTGGTTCATGGTCATTTCAACAGACACCCTACTCTGCTTGGAGCCTAACAGAAAACGCTTGGGTCGATTTTTTTTTTTGTAACTTAAAAGTTAATTTGATAGGGAAAATGCAGTCAAAGTTAAAAGTGACTCTAAAGACGACTGTCAGAATAAATACTTACATCATCTTCTTGAGGAGCATTTATTCTCACGTGATACCCTAGCTCGACATCCTTTGGCTCTTGATCAGGATTTGGTTCCCAGTGTAAAAGAACTTGGGCTAGACCAATAACTTTGATGGTGAAGTTGGCAGGTGGGAGAAGTAAAGCTGTTGATGAAAAGGAGCCACATGGTGTTCAATTGTACGGAGGCAGCACTTTTAAATTTTTCAAGGACTTTAGTGTGGAGTAAGGATCTTATGACTATTAGAGTGTATAATACTGAAATAATTTTGGAAAATTTGCTTTAAAAAAACTGCTTTTAACTCCTTATCTTTCTGCTTTGCCCAGGTATTTCCCTATAGCATATACAGGTTTTTACTGAAATATGAATATTTTAATATATCATTCCTTATAACTCTAGTTTTCAAACTGAGGGCCATTATCTATAAATTGGCTAGAAAAAGTTACTGGTTTGTGGCTAGAATTTTTTTTTAATGACATGGAAGAAAATAGGATAGCAAATATCAGGGTCCATGAAACATAATTACTATTTCATGAACCTCTTATTTCCACTACATGAACTTACTTAAATATTTGTATTTGTACTGGTTCTTGATGTAAAATTATTTTATTTCTCATTTTGATTCAAAGTCAAAACAATTTGTGAGCAAAACTACTTAGACTTTAATAGAAAAGAGGGTTTTTTTCTTTGAACCACTGTTTTCAAAATAAAAACTTTCCTTTAAGCACAGGTGAGCAAAAAGAAAAATTACCTCTAATCCTGCAACTGAGAATAGTGTTAATATGTGATATATTCATTATTTTTTGTCCTTGGCATATGTTGCTACAACTTGTTAAATTGTTTCCTAAAACTAGGACAATATTGTACACACCATTAGGAAACTGACTTTTATTCCTTTACTACATGGTTAGGATATTTCCATTGACCTTTAATTTTGAATAGCCTTCTATAACTCTGCGTCTATACTTGCCACATACTTGCTCTGTCTATATCGCACTGTCCATTATGGTAGCCACTGGCCATATATGGCTATTTAAATGTAAGTTAAACCAAATGTTCATCACCTTAGTTGCATGAACCGTATTTCAACTACTCTGTAGTCACTTATGTATAATGTCTACTCCATTGCACAATGGGGATATAGAACAGTGTCCTTATCATAGAAAGTTCTCTTAGACAACACTACATATGGACCATATGATAACTTTCTTTTCTTAGGCTCTGTTCTTATACCATATCCATAGATCAACAAGTTTCTGAACTGAAGCGTGGTGGAAGTTTTTATTCTTTGGTTGTGAGGACTTGTAACCAACCCCTTGCATGTGAAGGCATTTCACATGCGGCTGCCAGCTCCAGCTCTATTCCATAGAGCCTGTACACCCACACTCAGAATATGATTTCCCAGTGTAGCATAAAATTGGCATTCCAGCCAACTTTGCTTTCTTAAAGTACAGCACATTGAAAACGTTTGTATTCTGAAAAGAGTAAATATTCTTCTTTTAAAAAAAATCCATACATAATTTCCTAATTGAAGGATTATTTAGGAAAAAATAATGCTCTTTTTTGTAATGTACTTTTTTTTTTTTAAAGAAACACTACTGAATTTAATAGATGGTACCTACAGTTTTTATCGGGAAGTAAGTCTGCTCTTGGTATCACCATAGCCCACAACAGAACCAGTAGTGCAGGTGCCATGATAATCACATCCTACAGAAAACAGAAGGATGAAGATCCCAATCACCACCAGTTGTCATTTTTAAGAAAAACTGGAAGCTACCTTTTAATATAAAATGTAGTCCTTTTCCCATTTAACAGTTCTGAACTATCTGTTATGTGCTAGAAATATAAATATGAACAGATGTTGGGTTTTGTCTTTAAAACATGGAGCCATAGTCTGAGGGGCAGGATGAAATGTAAATGAATAATTGTAGTCCAGTTAAACACTGTTGCAATAAAGGTGTGAATGGGGCACAGTAGGAGCCAAGAGACTTCTGAATTGAGAAGGATTAACTAGAGTTCTTTTTTTTTTTTTAAGATTTATTTATTTAGAGGGAAAGAGAGAGAAAGAGGGAGGGGCAGAAGGAGAGGGAGAGAGAGAGTCCCAAGAAGACTTGGTGCTGAGCACAGAGCCCGATGCAGGGCTCGATCTCATGACCCCGAGATCAGGACCTGAGCTGGTCACTCAACCGACGGAGCCACCCAGGCGTCCCTTAACTAGAGTTCTTGACACACCAAGGGGAAAGGCAGTCCTGGTGGAATCCACAGCAAGGGTAAAGTCAGAAGAGCAGAAATTAAGTGGGTGAGGTTGGGTACTGAGCGGGAGACCAGAGCAGATCTTTGAAGAGTAAAAATTCTAGGCACTGTTATTCAGATTGAAAATAAGCACCATTCCGATTTTTCATTAACAAGTATTTAAATACGGGCCAACATGACAAGAAACTTAAATCTAAAACAATTTTAATGTGGGAAAGAGACACTTCGTATCACAAACCTGGAATATTATGGCACTTTGAGCTTTGGAGAGGTTAAATATGTTGATGAATCCAAATAGGGGCGGGCCATCAAAGGAATTAAAAACATAGTTACAGGCCTGAGGAAAATAAACAAGGTCTTGCTACCTACTTGAAACAACTGGACAATGAAACTGAAGCTAGAGTAGTAATGTTATAATAACTCAGCATGGCAGTCTGGAAAGTGTGGTTGTTAACGTCAGCATCTTGTTGACACGTTGTCGAAGAAGGGAGTGGATCCCTTGTTGGGAATTATCGATTAGAAATCTTGAGGGTTTCCTCTGAAGATATTGAAAGGCATTTTTCACATGGACTGGATTTTAAGGAACGAAGAATGTTCACAGCTTCTCCGTGTTGTGTTGTGTTGTGTGCTCTTCTGGCTTTTACAAAGCAGTTCTTCCTTTTAGTTCTCATGCCCACACCCCCACCCCCGCTTTGATTCAGTGCATGGCCCACATGGTTATTACCCAATTGGCAATGAAGAAAAGGAGTCTGAAAGCTTAAATAATTTTCCAAAGATCAAACAGCTTGTAGAAAATGGAATTTGGACCCAGTCTTGGATTTATCAACACCGAAGCCTGTGTTCTGTACTAATATAAATGACTTCTAGTTTTCAGTTTAAAAATTTATTTAAAAAAGGGCGCCCAGCTCTCTCAGTTGGAAGAGCATGTGATTCTTGGCCTCGGGGTCATGAGTTTGAGGCCCACAATGGGTATAGGGATTACGTAAAGTACAATATTTTTTAAAAATTTATGTAAATGGGCTGGTATTTGGCAAATATAATGGTAACCACAGAAGATAGACTTTTGGCCAAATGGCAAAAAAAAAAAAAAAAATTCTTACTATTTTTTAGCTCACTATTTAACCAACTTATTACTTACCTTACTACTATCACTCTTAACTTTGTAATGAAATTAGTAAAATATCACAATATAGAAGGTAGCAACATCATACAAATCATTTGATTTCTTTTTCAAATAAGCTTAAGTATTGCTAATCAGAATTGTGCTACTTTTGATAAAAATAATTTTCTCTTACTCTGGTCCCACATTGTGTAGAAACAGAATTTTAAAAATGACAAGGACAGGGGCGCCTGGGTGGCTCAGTCGTTAAGCGTCTGACTTCGGCTCAGGTCATGATCCCAGAGTCCTGGGATTGAGTCCCACATCGGGCTCCCTGCTCAGCGGGAAGCCTGCTTCTCCCTCTCCCACTCCCCCTACTTGTGTTCCCTCTCTTGCTGTGTCTCTCTCTGTCAAATAAATAAATAAAATCTTTAAAAAAAAAAAAATGACAAGGACAATAAAAGCAGATATTTTAATACTCTAAAACTTTTCAACAAGAATGTTAAGGAGTTAAAGGGAAACATTAGTAATTTGCTGAGCCTAAGAAGCAAAGATACAAAAATAAAACCAAAAAAAAAAAAAAACCCTTAACAAATAACAATAAAGACAGTTTCCTCTGCAAGAAGATCATGTCTTTGAAACATCAGCATTTCCTGAAATGATGTTATATATGCTCTAACTTTGCACTAATGGTCATTAAGAGGAATTCTAGGTCAGGAAAAAAAAATGCAAGATTGATATTCCCTAGTGACTTGTACTGACTGGCAAAGTAAATAGTATTTTATGACCAAACACTTATTTGTCCTTCGAAGTTAAGTAATCGAAGAGATAAAACTGTTGAATATCTAAGTGGGGGAATAATTGAATATTTTACATAACCAAGCACCCTCCCATAGAATTTGTTAAGTATTCCGACATCATAGCTGCTGAAAATGGAATTATGTTTTGTATTCAATCACTCAGAACTTTTTTGATGATAAATTTCTTTTTTGCTATAAAACAGCCATACAGTTTTTTTCACATCTCATTGTGATATTTTCCATTCAAAAAGGTGACACAACAAAATTAGGTGTCCTCTAGATGACACAAGATATTCAAATAGAAGTCAAAATATTAGTGAGACTGACAATTTTTTGTGAGCCAGATAAATTCCCTCCCGGACTGGGCATTACTGGAGCTTTGGCAGTTGACCCGTGTTTCCTCTAATCCTGTTCATTGTCTGCTCTGTTCCCTGAAAGCTCCTCCAGCCTTTGTCCATGATCCCTTATTATTTCTGGTCTCAGGCAGAACAATTACCACTGCTGGAAAAACAACCCAAATCTCTCTGGGCCATATTTTTAATCCAAGGGTATATTGTTAAATAGATGTCAACTGGGCGACATTTCACTGGACAAGAATAGAGCTAGCTACCTCTCTAGCTTAAAAAAATACATATCAAAATGACAATATGATCAACTACTTCTCATGGCTACCAATTAAAATCTGCAAGAAAGATATCGAGTTGTTAAGATAACATTCAAACTAAGCAGAATAAAGCAAACATGGGCCTACTTACAGTCATCACAAAACAAACTCAGTTTCTTAGAGATATTATAGGCTACTTGTTCATGTGACATTTCTCTGAGTTTACCTAAAATTCCTCGAGTGCCCTCAAAGAATCTGCCTCCTGATTGTTATATTGGAAATTTGGGAGAAAACAGGAGCACAACCTCTTGCACTATATATGTTTGTAGAAAGTTGGGTAAAGTTTTGGCAATTGGCAATGGATTTCCCCAGTGTTCCTGAGAATTGGTCAAATTCTACCGAAGTTCAGACTTAAGAATATTCCCTCCCCACCTTTTTTTTTCTTTTCAACTTATTTTTTTTGCCTGGGGCATTTGTTTTATAACCAAAGTTGTATATGCAACCCTGTTTTTAGAGCATTTTTTGAGTCACTTTTGGTGACATCTAGTTCCAGACTCAACCTCTGTGCACAGAAATTGAAAAGCAACTGGGAGGATTCATGCTCTGTTAGGCTCTTAAAAGTAAAGAGTTTGCTTTTTTACTTCCTCTTTTTTTCCTGTACAGCGTAATCAGCAATAAAACTCATCTCTTGAGGGATGAAGAATAAATAAATAACCCAAGGTGTAAAATGCAAATGACACGTTTAGCATTTAGGTATATTGTATTACCCCCCAAATGAAACCCTGTGCAAGCTTCCTAAAAATATAAATGAGTGATAAGGACCGTATATAATGCATGAAATTTTTTCTTACTATTCCTGGATTTTGGTCAACTTTCTGAAATAGTCATAAAATATAAGTCATGGATTCAAACTGTTGCCCTATACATTCATAAACAATCTTTAGCCAAGGTAGGAATGGTGCTTCATTGGGAAAATGAAGGAAGAAGGACTTTGCTGCTAATCTTCCAATGGTGGTTAAATGTCTCCCAGCTAATCCCACATGGTATGATTTGCCATCCCGCATCTGTGCTTCCCCCATTCCGGGGCATACCTGCCTCTGGTGATCCTCTTGTTTCCAACGACCGTGCTCAATATCAGAGGGCCAGGACCGGATCCATCCTGTCTGTGCGTTTGGCCGCAGCCCCAGCACCTAGCACAGTGTCAGGGACGGGGCAGATGCTAAACGTGCCTGGCCCTGAATAGAATAGAGGCAAATTAATATGCTACCCTTACCAAGTCCAGTTCTGCAGGGTAAAACCTAGCATGGGGATGAGACAGACCAGAGCACAGGAGGCTGGGAGCATATTAACAAGCCTGGTCCATTTGGGGTGTGTGTGTGATACATTTGGTACCTTGCCTAAAAATTTCCCCAAGTAGCATTTCACGTAATGAAAACAAATGAGGTGATTTGATTTCCAAATCTTCATTATGTTTTGAAAGGCAAACTTTTAACAAAAAGCTACATACCTTAATATATCTTTCAATAACTACAAAAGAGGACATAACCTTTCAGGCAAAATAAAAATTGTACCTGGTAATGAAATTTTTGGCATGATAATCCATTAAATTGAGTATCAAATACATTAATCAATATGGCTATAAAAGCGGTCACTTTTCACATGTTTATGAATGTTAGGCTCATGGGGGTACTGAGGGATTTTTTTTAAATTTTTCATTCAATCCATTTCTCCTGTATATATAAAATAAATTTATGTTGTTTTGGGTAAATAATTAACAAAACCAAGTGAGATATTTCAGCTATTTATGTTTTAGATACTTCAAATTATTGTACATCTCGTATCAAGTCAAACAATCTTGAAAAAAAAATCCCAGAACTCCCAGGAGAGACAAAAAGCAGAATGCCTTCAGTTAGATGCAGTGCAATCATCTCCTTTTTGCTGCTGTTCCTTA